GTTCGGGCGGGTGGTGATGGGGGTTTGGCCCAAGAGGAGGGGGGGGCTGAAGAACAGGGCCCGAAATCGAAGAAGAGGAAACCACATACACATACATTTGTGGCGCTCCGCGCGGATTTCTCGGACCCGCGCCGCTGGGCCCCCCCCGGCGGCGCCTCCGGCGCCGCCCCTGGCGCGCTCCACGTGTATGCCGTTTTTTGTGTGTTCCTTGCATTTCTTTTTTACCAAAGGGGCCATTTAGGGCCTCCTTGGGGCACCAGCAGCTGGCTCCAAAAGGAACCCAAAAGGGCCCCTTTCGGGCCCTGTTCTTCACCCCCCATCTCTATGATGAAAATCCTCGGGGCCTCGCGCGGCGCGCAATAGTTGTCTCATCTGGTCTACACGTCCACCGCGTCATACACGGGACGACGTTCGTGCGGCGATGGTCCTACGTGCTTCCGACGTAAATCCGACGTAAGTTCGACGAGCCCGACGTTCACCAGAGACAGAAGTACCACTACCACCAGCTAGGGGGGTGGCCGTCCCACCCTCTCGAGCTGGCGGCACCTCGTGATGGGCATGCCTCTAGAGAGTTCCCGGAAGGAGGTGCCACCAGCTCGAGGGGAGGGAGCGGCCACCCCCCTAGCGGGTGGTAGTGGTACTTCTGTCTCTCCTGAGACGTGGATCCTACGCACATTGGGCCCCACGTTGCCGCACGAGGCCTCCATGATTTTCTTCACCATTTGGGGCCACCCGCCAGGGAGGAGGAGGAGGAGGAGGAGGAGGAGGAAGAAGAGGAGGAGGAGGAGGAGGAGGAGGAGGAGGAGGAAGGGGGAGGAGGGGGAGGGGGAGATCCATAGCCATTTAGGCTTAAGCGGCTGCCTGGATTTGCTCTGGCAGCATTCCCGTCCAGGCTCACATCGTGGGTCGCGGCTATGTGTTGCGACATGGTGACTGTCTCGTTCATTGCCGCGGTGCGCATTTGGCAGCGTCATTAGTTTCTGCTTGCAGTGGTTCGGACCTCGTCTCTGACAAGTAGGTCACTGGCGCACCGGCACACGATGGAGTTGCACGCCTAGCTGCAAACATCCATCTCGCAGCCGCGGAGGCGTGTGAACTGCTTGGTATGGCCACCATCAGCAAGGGCTTGCAGGCCAAGCGATATGCAGGAGTGCGGCTACCTCCTCATGTACAACGTGAGGTGCGAGCGTTGGACACCGCCTCGGCTCTTCTTCGGCATCCGGGGGGTGCCATAGCAGTGGTGTTGCGCGAGGCTTTGAATAGGGCCACTTGGGGTGCTAGTTCCAAGCCAGCGCCAAATCACAACGAAACCAAAGTTACGAAGGAGAGAGACTGACGACCCGCCACTCTCAGCATGACGGCCAAGCAGCAGGACCAAAACGAGGAGAGCCACCGCGATGTCCAATCTGGAGGTTGCTCGCCAGTGGCGGCACCAGAGTACACGAGAAGAAGGTGGACGACAGGTTGGAGGCCAACGCTCTGATGAACTGCGAGCGCAGCGTTGAGAGCAAGGTCGATACTTTGGAGGAGAAGTTGAAGTGGTTCGATGCACAGCTCGATGGCCTTGTGAACAGCGCCCAGGACCAACAGGACTTGTCCGACAAGCTCGCGAGGCAGCTGATCCAGGATCAACATGACGTCTCGGACAAGCTCGCGAGGCAGCAGGATAAGTTCAAGGAAGTGCAGGAGTCCAGGCAGGCCGTCATGGATGTCCACTTCCATGAGCTAGACGCGAAGCTGCAGAAGTTAGGAAACGATGTGATTTCCACAGTGCGTAGAGCTAGTGCTGGAGAAGCTCACGGACAAACTCGAGGTCATGCGCGCGGAGACGGTTAGGCTGGGTTCGCATGTGGTGGAGCAGCAGGTGCTCACTCAGAAGCAGAGCGAGTTTGTGTCCACCATCGTCGACGCCAACGGCCTCAAGGCCCAGCGTAGCGAAAGCGACCAGTCGATATCCGAGGTCGCCAGCGACGAAGATGAGGAGCCCAGCGAGTGCGATAGCACGGTTCAGGCCCAGCTGGAACAGGAGAGGCACGAGGAGCAGAGGTCGTAGAATGATGTGAAGAGCGAGGGGTGGCAGCGAGGTGCGCCGCTGGTGAGCTTTCTCTAGCCATACTGTTCCCATTATGTCCATCTCCACCTTTTCATTCTGCTTTTTTTCTCCCCGCATATCCATTGTCTCACCCTTTACGTCTACGGCGCGCAGCAGGCGCGCAGCACCGTCTGCAGAAGCGCATGGCGCTATCTTGGAAAGCGGGCGGGAGCTGGGAGATCGAGGGGGGTAGGGAACATCGAACTTCCATGGCCCAGGGTGCTGTGGCGCGTTGGCCAAGCCCCTGTCGTGGCGGCGGCGGCCGTTCATATCATCTTCTATTTCAGTCCCCCGCAGCCCTCCGGCCTCGATACTCTGCAAGCGCCATGCAAGAAGGGCAGAGCGAGCCCTTGGGAAAGGGGGAGGAGGCATGGAGGCGTTTCGGGTATGATGAGTGGTTGCGTGGCGTGCATTGGCGGAAGAGGAGGACCATTCCCCCCCCCCCCCCCGCCCCGCCTCGCAGCGCCGCGGCAGCAGGCCGCGCGCGCAAGCAGGGCTGGCCATCGGAATGCCGATGCTGACCTGAGCCCTAATGCTTACAGGGGGTGCCCTGTGAGAGCGGCTTTATTGGAGGGAAGGAGGTTCTTGAGGTAAGTGGTTATGCCCCCCCCCCCCCCCCCCCCTTCCCCTCCAACGGCAGTGGCGCGGCCGTGAGTCGCAGCAGGAGCTGGTTTGGGCAACTATCTTCTCCTCTTTTTTTTTGATTTTTTTTTCTCTTTCTCTCTCTCTCTCTCTCTCTCTCTCTCTCTCTCTCTCTCTCTCTCTCTTTCTCTCTCTCTCTCTCTCTCTTTTTCTCTCTCTCTCTCTCTCTCTCTCTCTCTCTCTCTCTCTCTCTCTCTCTCTCTCTCTCTCTCTCTCTCTCTCCAGTCTCGGCTCGAGAGTGCCCTGCGCTCATAGCGTAGCCGCGACGCGAAGCGCCCCGCTCTGGAGTCCCGACTCCAGGCCTCGCGAGACCGGAACCGCGCCAGCAGCGCGGTACTGATTTGCGTCTCCTCACTTCCTCAGTGCGACCGCCGCCATGGCCCCCCTGTCTGCGCCAGGCCGCCACCGCACTTTCACGTCTCACCATGCTGTACTACCTGAGCTGCCTGGCCATGTTACTGAACATAGGCACCAGGACCTTGTCTTCCGCGTGCCCGTCCTGCACGGGCGCGACCTCCCAGTACCACCTGGACACGCCCCACACGTGCCGCGTGCGGATCTTCACGAAGATCTACGTATACTCGGGCACGACGTGTTCCACCTGCGCGCCGAGCTGCGCGCCTACCGAGCCGACCTCCGCGCTCACCTACCAGGCACCGACACCAACACAGACGACTCCGTCCAGCACCTGCTCACCTCGGCACGGCCAGGTATCCAGGGGGGGTCGGGCTCCCGACTGCTGAGGGTGACGGTGCTGAGTGCGGTCGGGCTGTTCCCGCGCCTGCCGTCGTCGCGCCGCGCGTGACAAGCAGTCGGCCCCCAACCTCCCCCCGAGAGCGCTCCCGCGGCACCGCAGGCACCGCTCTCAACTTCATCGGCATTATCTTGCTGAACTTCGGGTACGGCCTCGGCTCCACCTTCGGCATCGCTCTCGGCACCGTCGGTACGGTCTTGCGTACCATCGGCAAGGGCACCAGGAGCGTCGTCAAGCACATCGTCGACTCCGCCGGCACGGCGGGCCCAGCCCGCCCCACAAGGGCCGTCAAGGTCGGCTACGCGTTCTTCGGCGTCCTCGGCTCCGCCTGCGGCTTCAAGGGCACGGCGGGCCTGGCCCGCCCCAAACGGGCCACCATCTCGGCCGTCGTCATGCTCGTCCTTGCATCGACCTCAGCATCGCCACCAGCACTGCCGACCGCATCGACGCCAGCCTCGACGGGCCTTTCAACATCCTCTGTCCTGACGCCTCGCCCAGGGCCGTTGGCGAGGGTGCTGCCTTCAGGTGCACCTGACGCTAGAGGGGCCGTCCTGTCATGCCATGACCCGTCCGCCTTGCCGACACCAGCGTCTGTGCCTATGGCCCCATCGACGTCAACATCGACGTCAGCATCGTCCTCGGCAGCCTCCACGCCCACGTCCACGACGGACCAAACCCCAGCTCCGCAGACAGCATCGACGCCAGCTCTGACGACGGCACTGCAGTCAGCCTCGACGCCAGCGAGGGGTACGGATTCGGCACCATCCTCGCCCCCTCCCTCACCCCGCCCCGCAGGAGGAGGAGGAGACGACGACGACCACGACGACCTTGACGACGCAGTACCGGCGCCGGCGCCGAGGTCAGCATCGACGCTCCCACCGACGGCAGAAACGACCACAGTTTCGCCGACCCCGACGGCAGCATCGACGGCGGCGAGGACGGCTCCGACGGCAGCACCGCTAGCATCGCTAGCATCGTCAGCTACGATGGCAGCATCGTTAGCACCGCCGGCTCCGACGTCAGTATCGTTAGCATCGTCGGCTCCGACGGCCGCATCGACGGCAGCGACGACGGCTCCGCCCGCAGTTTCACAGACTCCGACGGCGGCATCGATAGCATCGCCGGCACCGACGGTAGCATCGACGGCAGCGACGCCACCACTGCCAGCGGCGGCTCCGACGTCAGCATCGACGGCAGCGACGCCAGTACTGCCAGCGACAGCTCCGACGGCCGCAAGAGACGTCAGCACCACAATCAGCCACTCCTGCGCTCCCTGTATGGCCACTCGCTCGGCGGCGCCTTCAGGCCCGCCGAAGCCTGGTGACCTACAGACCTCTCCTCGGCATCATCGTCTCTCAGAGTTGCAGCCAGCTCCGACGTCCGTATCGAGGCCAGGACCGACGCCAGCCCCTACGACAGCACCGCCAGCGTCAACACCCACGCCTGCGCCTACGCCGGTTCCTACGCCAGAGTTGCAGGCCGCATCGACGCCAGCTCCGACGTCTCCATCGA